AAGTGTTGAGGGCCTGTTGGAACCACTCCCCTACCAGACCAAGTAAGGCTGATGATCTGTGTCTGACGACTCGACTGTCCCGGGGGATACGAACCCTCCCAAGGACCGGTAAACCGTACGCAGAGAGGGAGAAGAGGACGGCAAATGAGGGGTTGCAACATATCGTCTTCTCTATGATGTTATGTATACAGTATACTCGACCCCCATAACGATTTACTAAACCAAGTATGATGTCCTCATAGAGAACTGCCCTGTGAACCACAGGCAGAGAGGGAGAAGAGAACAGCAAACGAGGGGCTGCGGAAGTTCAGACTCACTAGGAAGCTGAAGAGTCTCGTAACCGATGATACCATAATTGATAATCCACCTCAACCCTGGTTACGGTTAAGTTACATCGCCCTAGAGAAATGCCCGATGAGCCTTAGGCAGAAAGGGAGGGGGAAGAGGAGAACAAAGGAGGGGCTGTGACAGACTGTTTGATCAGAGTTTCACCAATTCATCAGGAGGCTGAACCCTCTACAGTCTGCAGAGTCTCCTAACTGATGATACGGTAAGGAGCAATCGACCACAACCCCACTTGCGGTTAAGCATCAACAACTGCACGACAACTAACAGCCTGAGATGGGCACCTACCAATGCCCTCAAGTTACCTGTGACAAAAACCAAAGCAGTATGAATCACTCACAACAGACGGAAAACTCTACAGGCTGCAGGTTCACACCCCATCCTACTCCAGCAAAACAAGCATGAAACAAACATCTGTCACAGCCCAAAAATACACTCCAGAGTCCAGACACACCCCTTGGCATTAGAGCCACACCATGGCCGCGTAGTGACAGGCCTGACCGGAGAAAACCATAGCAGGTATATATCATATATAGTCAAATGTAATGACCCGCCAAAACACAGACTGAGAACACTGCTGATTTCTGGGTTTTGCTGCTGGAATGTATGCCTTGCTGAGATTCTCGCATTCAGCTGAGTTTTCTAAGTCTGTGTGTGTGCGTGCCTCCTGGCCTGCGTGCCTGTCTGAGTGCTTGTCGGCCTGAGTGTGTGTGTGACCCGCAAGGGTACTTGTTCGCTTGTAGGTCCTGTAGGGCCGGTACTTGTGGCCATGACTTTGAGGCTTGCAGTGGGGAAAAGCACTAGTGGGGGTAGGCCCGCGACACTTAGAACAGCGGGGAAAAACACTCAAGTACCAGGTAGGCAGACCGGTACCACTCAAGTAGTAGTAGATGTGCCAGGTTCTCGAGGCCGAGCAGAAGAGGACAAAAAGTTGGCATTTTTAGAGGCCCAGTAGCGGTAGGCTAGAGGTAGGCGGGTACCAGTCCAAGTAGCCTGAGTCTAGGGCCTGGACAGACGATATCAGAGCCTGCAAAGATGTTTCCCTCCGAAAGGGAGGAGGTACCGGTTGCTTGGAGGCCGCGCGGCCTGGAAGTCACCGCCCAAGAGGCAAGTAGGCCGCCATATCTCCAGGAGCAGCGAGTAGCTCCTCCTCAGTTGCAGTGTGCAAGGTTGGGCAACCTACTGCTTGACCGAGTGCTGGACTCGCTGCCTGGGAGGACGAAGAGGAGCTGGGCGCTCAGCCACACCTGAGGAGGAGGAAGAACGGGGTGAAGGAGGAGAGTGGCAAGGTACATACCTGGCTATGGTGGACATCATCTTCGTCACCTTGTCAGGCTCTGCATCTGGAAGGTCCCAGTTGGGGTAGTGCCACATCAAGGAAGCTCCGAGGCAGAGTCGGGCATGGTGGCCTGAAGAGCAGCGACCATAGTTGCTTTGAGTTGTCTTTTGCACAGGAGGGCAGAGCGCTTAGTAGTCCGCCATAGCCTTGGCATGTGAGAGGAAGGTGAAGGGGGAAGCCATGGCTATGGTGGACCTATTGTTGTACTAGCAGTAAGAGGGAACTTTGGATATTGATTCTGGTTCAACCTCTCAATTGTTATTATTATTATCTGGAGGAAGAATAAGATTGGTGAAGACGAGGAGAAGGTGGAGAGAGAAGGGGGATTTGTCATTGGTCTTGCTGGTGTACATCTTCTTCTTCTTCTTCTTCTTCTTCTTCTTCTTTGGTCTCTATCTCTTTGCAAGTGCTTTCATTTCTTTCGCAATTGGGTGGCATTGTCTTTCCTTCTGAATTTGCACTTCGGAAATGACCAGGATCGTAACACAAACATATATACATATCACAATAATCTATTTGTCATAGACTCAAAGAGATCTGTTGGTTGAACCATAGGCGAAAAGGGAGAGAAGGACAAGATTGCTTGAATGAGTTTCACAGACTGAAGCTCACCTGGTATGCAGCATCTGCTGATATCCCAGCTTTTGCTGTCCAACACAAACCGCACCAGAGGTCACAAGCACTACTGACATGCCATGCTGCCTCATTAAGGCCTCAACCTGCAAAAGCATACGTAACACCAAAAATCAGTCTGCTCTTCTTTCATATTTTTTTAATCTTTTTTTTTGCTCTTTTTTTTCTGTCTTTGTTTCCTTTATAAAGGGCTACGGCCTTGAGATATCATCGTTTGACCTGCCAGTCCTTCCAGCTGATGTGTAGCCCTTCAATTGTTGCGACTTTATCTTTCGCGAGCAACATATGTTGAAATCTCTTCTTCAGTGTCTCCTCTGAGTCGGGGTCATTCTGGATAGACAAAGGCAACCCCCTCTAAAGATTATACAGATTAGATAGATGGATAGACTAGGACGAACCCCTCTTAGCCCTGAATAGACTAGGACGAACCCCTCTTAGCCGTTAAACCGCCAGGACAGGGGCCCAGCCTTGCAGAAAAATATTTGTCACCTACTCCAGAAATTTCACAGCTCAGGCCTACCAGACCACACTGGCTGGCGGAGCCATACAGAAAAGAAAAGAAAAGCCGCTGCCGGGTCCAAAAATATTGGCGTGCAGTGCAGCGCATCCACGCCTGGGTGAACTGGTGGCTTAAGTGCAATCAGACTCGTTTTCAAACACACTTTTCACACATGTAAACAGTAACGCAGCACACTGGCGACATGCGCCCACTCAAAACTCAGAGATATGGCTTCAGATACGAGTTCACTCTCAAATGGCTATGGCGACTTCAGCGCCCAAACATCTCACTGTTCACATACACTGGATCACCCTGGATATCCCACACGCATCACTCTAACACTCGAACACAACACACACTCACTACTAACTACA